GAGAAAAATTGTAATATATATTTAATTATTATTATATTAATTAACTATTTAACACGTTGGCGCGTCTAATAAGAGAGATTCCAACGAGTTCGCGTGTGGAATTTCGTATCTTTCAACGAACGTATCGCGTTGAAACGCTTCTGAAGGCGTTTTATCTTTGTTGACTGCTTTGAAAAAGTATACATTGTATCCGCTGTCTCGCAGAGAATAAACAGACATCTTCCCGGTACGTAACCGACGTCCTCGCTCGACATCTCCCCCGTTCATTCTCCCGATTCACCGTGAACCGATGAAACGAAACGGTCGTCATTGAGGAAAAACGAAGGCGCGAGAGAAAGGAAAGGCCGCAGGTGTACGAGACGGAATGCAAATAAAGGTATTAGGGACACGGTCAGCGTAGAGCCGATAGAGAGGAGGAAAACGACGAAAAAGGAAGAAAGAAGCTTCACGGTACTTTCTCTTCCGAGGGAAAACCTCCGCACATTTCCTACGCAAGCGTAATTTCGCAATTCCAGTGTCGAAACACACGTAGACCACGCGATAAGCCGGTCTATCTATCAATTGTTTTTCAACGATAATCCTCTTTTCATATTCACCACGTTTCCCCATCCAAAACGACAGTAGGTGAGGAAAGAAATTTTTCTGAGTCACTGCAACGTAAGTCCAACCCAAAGTACAAACCTCGCAACGATAACATCAACAATTACACTCCAAAGATGCTTGTTTCCACCAAAAGAAAAATTATCCCGATATCTTTGCTACTTTACCCCCCAAAAAATTGTCAAAGATGACACTCCGAAGGTGCCTTTTAAACCCAGGAAAAATCGTCGGTGGAGAGAGCGTTAGATCCGACGATTAGCTTAAAATTTCCGGTGGAAATCGGTGGGATCGTGGACGATAAGAGATTGGAGCGTTTCGAAGTGTCTCGGGACATCGGTTCCAACGGAAGAATGGTCGTTGATAAGGAACGATGGCGGCCAATCAGCGGCGAAGGTCCGCGCGGAACGTCGGTAGACGAAAGCGATTACGTAGCTCGGTAACGGGGCGAGTTCCTCGCGAGCGGAGCGGAGCGGCGACAGTGTTGCTCGGCGCTCCGTTGCGCGTCCCTGCTGCTTTTCTGCGCGGTCGCGTAGCGTTTCTCATCGTCGGCGCAGCTGCGCGTGCCACCGAGACGCGTCAGGCCCCCTTTTGCCCGGAATTATGCTGCCCCGTTGCTGAACCAACGAAACCAACAACGAGACCACGAGGCCCCCGGTGACACGCGATGCCCGGCAAACCCTTGGTGTTCGATTACTTCTAAATGACCACCTGTCCAATCACCCAACGTCGACCAACTTAGAATACCAGAGGGGAGAACACCGATTTTCGAACGAGCCTCCTCCGAGCCGAGGATACGACCAAGCACCATGATGAACGGTAGGCCTCTGTTTTCACGATCATGGGTGGTGGTCCCGAGTGAAATGAGCTGACTCCTTGATTAGCTTTTAGGCTGGATACTGCAGTTTCCCTGTAATCTGCCATAGAGTGTCTATGCCAAATGCTTTATGTAGGAATTTTCGAGAATTTTCAGGCTTTCCACAGCCTGGACTTTCCTCGATCGACCGAGGCTTTCCGTCTGCTTCGTTAGGGAGAAGGCTTCTAGAAGCTGAAACATGGTAGAGAGACGGCGGGGATACACGGCTGGTTTAATTCAAGATGTCCAGCTATAGATCACCGTGTAGAATCGATGTCGCGAAGTTTGCCAGGGAGAGTGATTAACGAGTGGCATTGGTAACATAGCCGAGAGCGGTCTGTTTACGTATAGCCGGTTCTACGTTGAAAAGTAACAGTGAAACTTTCCTCCGTGTCAGTCGTCGACCGGTCTCTGATTGCTCAACGTTGCAGCAACTCTCGCGAGACGGTGTCCAACTATGAATCGATGTCGCAACACGATCGAAGGAGGATCTGCTATTTTCTTCGCGGTGAGAAATTTCTCGGCCACCTGTTCCACGTGGCGGGAAAATTCACCATTCAACGTATTCTACAACTTACGTAACCACTGAACGCACAGTACGATGTGTTGTTATTAAAATAACTAGTGTGTCGAAATGTACGCGCGTCCTTCGTTCCTACCGAGTCACTTTAAACACGCTTCGGCAGTGTGACGATGGTAATTGCTCGAAAGTTTCCTTCAGCTTGAACGTGAAATACCCCTCCCGGTCGAAAGTTTTTCCTCCTTCGATCCGTGGAATCGCCAGTCTTTTTAACAGCTGACGGCAAATCGCGCCACCGGATCGTGTAATTGATAAAACTGAGGTTTGGATCGCGTGACGCGACAGCTGGCTCTGTAGTCGTAAAAGAAAGATGACTGGCTATAAATTCGTGCTCTCTCGTTAGTACCGTAGTTTCTTCGCGCGTTCTATTTTCTGCCAAGCGAATCGTCGCGGCCAAAAACGCTCCGATTCGTCCTCGTCGCGACGCTTCCACGAACGAACCGGCGAGCGCACGTTCGCCACGAAACGAGTCGTCAATTGAAACGTAGACGCCTTTCAACCAACGAATTTATCAAGCTGCCACGTCCTCAACCTAACCGTTCTAGCATAATGACTTAACGAAATTGCTGCAGCAAAGTAGTTAACAGCGAGAAGAAACGTCGCCGATTTCAGTTTCAAAGCTACGATCAAGATTGAACGATGTCTCGTCTTCGATGAAACTTGTTCAACTTTGACCATCATTCGATTACGGCGAGTTAGACATTTTAATCGCGCAACCTTCGATTCCTCAGCGTCCCAGTTCTTCGATCGTCTTCGTTTTATCAGCGGCGACCGGTTCGTCAACCTTATCGACGCGGCTTCTTATCGTTAAATTTGTACACTTTCCTAATCACGTCTCTTTCTACCGCGTGAAATCGCAGCGTGAAGTTATAAAAAGAAGAAGCAAGATCTGGCCGTTATCGTGGAAACGCAGGATGACGTAGCTTGTGCGGTAGTTGGAGCTCGCGTTGTAAGAACTAATTCGACGTATAAACAGCAGGGTACTCGTTATCGAGTCACATCTGAATGGATCTCGAATCTCTCTCTGTCCACGAATAACAACTTTGTTCCCGAAAGATTACACCCGTCGTCGCTTATCGCTTACGAAAGCAATTAGAATGGCGCCGTTCAAGATCGTAATCTGATGGAAAAATCGCCACTGTCTTTGTATCTAACCGATCCGTCTGCGTTTCACAGCTGTACCAACCACGTGGAGCGGTTTCGTTTGCAGATAACCCCGAAGGTTACGCGTTACAATCGGGCATCATTCACAAATCGTGTAACTTTCCTCGGTTCTTTCACTGAAAATAGCGTCGTTAAAGCGTCGATTAACGGGCAATAAATTGTGTCTATCGGAGGATGTTTCCTCTCTCCGCTTCGTAATTTCCTTTCCCGACGAGGGGGAGAAAAGGAGAAAATTCCGCGAGATAACCAGTTGCGATGAATTGCCGGGAAGACGGGGAGAGAGTGTCACAGGCGTGGGAAAAACGTTTCGCGGAGAATACAATCTATAATTGCGCATTCTTGAAAGAGCGACGCGTTCGATTTCCGTCGCGCGTCGTCGCAAATAAACTGTTGCTAATAATTTTCGCGAGCGGAAACGCGGGTGGCCGCGACGAAATTTCGTCACAGATGAAATCGCTGGATTATTATAGATCGGCGAAAAGTTCAAACGGCCGTGATTCTAAATGCAGAAAGCTCGAACGAGTAAGAATATGAGACGATTTTCATCGGATCGGTCGACGACACAGCAAACGAAAATAGCACGGAGGTCGGAGAGACGCGACTCTGTCTTTCGCGGCGCGTGTTTTCATTTACCGCATAGATCGCCGGGTTCGATTAATCGGTGAAAGGTTCGATTTCACCCTTTCGACTCGTTTGTCGAGTTTCATTCACAGGTACGAACCAAGTCATTTTCAAATTGCCAGTTTAAACGTGTATTATATTTTGCAATGTTCTTTTTTTTTTTTACCGACAGTAGGTACATCGACACTTGTCCCTTTAACATACAACAACGTGTCAGACTCGTAGCAGAGATTCTGGTGAGGATGTGACAAAGATAGATATATTAGCGAGAAAAATTAATTGCAATCCAAACTTTCGTTTGAATTTGTAAAATTAGGGATTCCTAGATGTAATTGACCTGTAACAGATTAGCTTTTGGTACTTGATACAGTACTGAAACATTAAATGGCCGACGCTTAGATGCATTGTCAGAAAAGAAATCATAGGTTAAGGGGTTAATTCTATTTTCAATACAATTAGCAAACAAAATTGTTTAATCTGTTAACTCGTCGTTGGTTAGCCAAGGCTGCAAATAAAATAGTTTATCTATTAAGGAACTGTTCATTTTTAATTCCATTTTTACACATGTGTTAAACGTCAAATAAATTATATTCACATTTGCCAAAATCACATTTCCAATCATTCTCAATTATAAACTAGAGAGATTCAATTTCTGTTTGAGAGGTAAACCCAGTTAACAGGTTAAATTGGTTCCTATCGATCAAATGTCTTTCGAATAAAATTCTTAAAGCAACAGGGAGTTATTGAAGAGAAAATAAAAAAAAAAGTTGCGAGTTCAAAGGGGGGAGAAAGGAAGATCCCCTCGATTGACGTAAATCAGAATCGATTCAATCAACGTTCCTTGTTCGACGTTTTCTTGCTAACTTTTAATCTCGTTATCTCGATAAAGCGACCGAAACGAGGACGATAAGATTGTCCCGATGGAAAAAGATACACGCGAGGAAATTACAGAGTTGATCGATAATACGAAGAAAAGTGTAATTAGCGAAAATTTCAATGGCGCAGTCTCTTGTTTCAATTTGTCGCGTCAGCCTCGACCTATCGCTCGAGTTACGCTCATTAAAGACGGCCGTAGTGTGACATTGAACGAAACCACCGATAAGCTCTCCACTTTTATACTTGTACAGAAGCTGTCAGTTCAGGGTAATCGATGTTTACAGACGCGTCCACGAAAACGTAGAATTACTGATCTTACGTAACTTGCCTTTCATCGTCCCGCGTCCAATCGTCTGTTTAACCCTTCCGTTGCTGTTTGGCGGCGCCTGTGCGAGGTAATTTCATCCTTTGCGCGCTTTCGTTTAAAATTTCTGCAAATTTAAAGAAAATTTTTTTTAACCACTTGCGCTGGAACGACGTCTGCCTTACGTACATTGTTATCTGCTTCTAAAGTGTTTTCGACGTGCGTAGCAACTTTTTCAAAATTGAACCAAACGACTTGAATTTTTTCGAGAAGTTGGAAGAATCGGTGTTCCAAAGATTTGGAGAAAATTGCAATTCGGGGAAATTGGCAAAATAACGGTTTGCCAAGAGGTGAAATAATTTTGCAAATTTTTCATTTTCACGCGGTTGAAAGAAAATATTTTAACATCTACGTTGCGTATTGAACTTTGTAGCAGCGGAAGGGTTAATCGAACGATCTCCTCGTGACTCACGTACACGTCTATTGTTTACGCGTTGTTGCTCGTTTGTGGAAAAAAACACAGCCGGTGACACGATCGATAATCGATAAGTCGTTCGGTTAATCTAAGATTCGTGTTGTACACAGGATTCCAGATGTTTGCACGGTGAAACGTGGCCGATAAACGGACAGGCGAATTCCGTGACAAAGGGAACGGTTCTATTTGATCAATAAAATCGCGCGAACACGTGAAACGTGATCGAACGACAGAGGAAACTCGTGACAAAACACGGGAAACGTGTATATCGAGTGGCCGGAAATCCTGCGATTTCTCACCCGGAGAATGGGAAAAAAAAAACAACTAACGATAAGCCGCGCGCGCGTCTTCGATTGTTCGTCGAATCGGGTCGCCTCGAATTGCGCAATTCGCAATATTCACCTTACATAAGTGTACCGCTATCACTCTTGCACAATCTGACGAATTTCTCGAACGTGACACGAAAGATTGAAAAACGTCAACGGCTTCCTCGAGTGATTAGAGGAAAATTCGAGGGAAACGGGAGGGGCTCTTCTACCGGGAAACTGCGCTCCTAACTTTTCCTATTTCCTGTTGATTAAGGAAAGAAGGATATTTACCAGAACACGGAGAATTTTAAATGTTACTCGTGTTAAAGTAAAGAAAATTAACGGGAAAATGGAAATAAATAAATTAATAAGCATTTGCTTTCCGAAAATTCCAAAGTTTCACTGCAAAAGTGTGCTGGAATTGGTGATGGATCGCGTGATAAAAAGAAAACGGTTTGAACTGATTAAAGTTCGCGAAACAAGACTTGGAGAGTTCGAAAAGTAAGAGAATTTTACTCGCGGCGAAATGACTGAAATCAACGAAAGAAATAAAAATAAATTTCTAAACATTTACAACTTCTTTTCCGTCAAGAATGAAAAATTCCTGAGTCTCACTGTGAAAATTTACTGAAATTGCTGATCGATTACACGAAAGAGAAACGATCGAAAGGGTTGAGAAATGATTGAGATTCACGAAACAAGGCTTGAAAAGAATTTCACTCGTATTGAAATAACAAAAATTAACGAAAGAAAGAAAACTAAATTCCTGAACAGAAACTTTTGCTCTCCCAAAATTCTAAAAGTTTACTGGAAACACGAAAAAGGAACCAGCAAAATTGAAGGAATTACAAAACATGACCCGGTTCCCCGAAATTGCTCCGCTCCGAAAGAGGCTCGAATAAAGAGCATCGGTCGTCGAGCCTTCCTGGAGGGGTTAAAATCGGAGTTACCCGGAAGAGGACACCGCAGATCAATCCCCCACCAATCCAGCCAAGAGTTAGGTGTGAACGTTTCAGACGGTTGGCACGTGCTGGCCGCGTCAAGCCAGAAAGTTAGCTGAAACCGAGTATCGGCCACGAGGCTGTCGTTCAATACTCCGATTCCCCAGTTGTCGGTGGAAGCGAGAAACCCGTATCGAAAAGTGAGAAAACTGCACGGCCATTCCGACGACGGTGTGCTCCGTCTCTGAACTCTCGAACAGATGTGTCTTTCGCTCGGCTAGCCGTTGGAGAGTGCGGCGTACGTAAACGGTAGAGAAAAGAGGCGCGTGCATTTTAACTGGCGTGCAATTAACAGGGCCGTACTCGTGCCACGGCAGAGGGATTCGGTGGGAAGAAATGAGTCACGAGCGTCGATGTCGTCGTAGGTCGAGGCAAAACCCAATGGTAGGGATATATCTCAGGCGCGACGACGTTCGCACTGGCGCCACTGTTCCGAGAACTTAAACCCTTGAGTATAAGCCGACACGTTTCCACGTCGCTTGTACTACCTTGAGACCTCGTTCGAATCAAGAAAGAACGCTCTCGCTTCGAGGACCAATTTTTATCAATCTTCGACAGCTGTCCCGCTTAACGAAGTACGAGAAATACGTGCGCGCGAGTCGCTCGACGGATAGGAAGTAAAACGTGCGGAGAAATTCGTTGACAAGACAAATTGATCGTCGCACGGCGATCGGTGTACACGGTGTGAATTTCAGGAGGCGTTGTTTCATTTGGTGGCGAAAACGTTGACAGTGCGTAATCGTATACCGGTGTCGGTGCGCGAAACACCAGATAAGGAGGTTTTTAGCAAAGGAGGGAGACACGTGGCGTTACCTGAGCTGTGGACGTCAAAGGATACGGCCCTGAACCCGGGATGGAAGCAGCTAGAGCGCAAGTCTTCTGCTAATGCCAAACAATTCCCTTAATACATTCGCGTCTGGAATCTCGTTGTAATTGGGGCGCACGCTTTTGTGCCAGCTGTCGCGTACTTGTCAGTGTTTGCTCGTTGGTGATCAGTCTGAACCGGTCCCTCGGACGAAAACTCCCCGCCTGTGGGTAGTGTGTGCCTTGCTGTGCTAGAATTATTTCGCTTTGCGTATCCTGAAGTAACGCAGAGAAATACAGAGAGAGACAGAGAGAGAGAGGCGGAGGAGGGAGATAGAGAGAGAGAGAGAGAGGGAGTATACGGAGCGCAAGTTCGAAAGGAACGGCTGGCCGGTCGCCATCTTAGATCCATCGGCACGAGCACGTTGCACGAGCCGCTTTTGCCGTGTGTGGGAAGGTTCTTTTGCGAGAAACGTCGAGTACTTGGAACGAAAATCAGAGAATTCGAGAGGGATGCGAGAAGGAAAGGTGTTATTTTTCCTGGAACGTGAACGCATATAAAACGGAGACGGTGCATGTCGAGTGAGGCAGACGAGTTCGAGTGCTGCGACCGAGAGAGCCGTGATCGCAAACAGATGCATGAGACGCAAGTGAAACGTCCAAAGTGTGCAAAGTGACTTATTGGAGGAGAGAGATTTTTTTCTTTTCTGTTTCCTAATTTAACGTGGCTCAGGCAGGGGATACACTGTTGTCGAGCAGCGGGACAGAAACGTAATCGGGATCTTCATTATGAGCAAGATGCTAGGAACAAACTATTGCACCGTGTTCTCTGTGCTTAGAAGTCCCGAAGAGGGTGAATCGTTTAAACGGATCATCTAAAAGAATCGTTCGAGAGAGAAGTAACGTAGAGAGATTAGATAGATAGATAGATAGAGAGCGCGAGAGAGAGAGAGAGTGAGAGAGAGTGCGAGAGAGAGAGAGAAAGGACGTGTGTATGTACCGTGAAGAAGGGATAAAGGATTTCGAACGTTTTTTCTATCAATCAACCGGATCACGAGTGATATACGTCACGAGAGAACGGAATCAGTGGTGGAAAAAAAGAGAGAGAGAGAGAAAAAGTGATCGGTTTCGTGAAACAAAGTGCTAAATCATTCGAAGAACTCGTGGGAGACGTGTGATCACCTCTGAGAAAAGGAACTCCGACGTTGACGTAATCTGGTCTATATATAGATCTGTTCGAAATTCGCGAAACTTTGGTGGTGAACATTCATGCAGTGACGTACATCTTCATTTCGCCTGGTGAATCATTGGATCTCTTCGTGTAATCCTACCGGACACTTTTTTCCCTCCGTCGACGTCGATAAGAACTGTGCGTGTGACACTGTTGGTGTACTTGGAAAGAAAGAAAAAATAACAAGAAGAACCGTGAAGAGGAATTAATCAACGTTGCTAACGTTGAAGAACTTTCCGAATAAAATCTAACGAAACGACACGACGATCGATAGATCTCCGTTTATCGACTCGATCTTCGTTTTAGTCGATAAACTAGGTCCCTGCTGATCGAGGAGGAACCCCCCTCCCCGCAAAGAGGCAGACGAACGCGGTCCGATTCGACCCCGGAAACTGGTGGTCGACGAGTTTCCCCTGCCGATCGAAGCTACCGACGGCATACAAACTACACTTATAACCCGTAATGTATTTGAGATCGCACGTACAGACAGCAAAAGGGAGGCACGCGTACGCAAGAGAGACGACAGAGGCTGGCTGTGCATCAGCGGCGAGAGGACGAGACGACGTTGATTCGGCAGCGGGCGGCAAGGTCAAGACGAGGAAATCTCTGGTGGATTGTTGGGACAACGAGGTAGCTCTACTGGTTGATCCGAGATCGGATTCGAAACAGGCGTACGTACGACGCGGTATGAGCGAAGGTGAACGAGCAGTTACCACGCCGCGAATCGGCTGGCGAAAGCTGACAGATCCTGGCGACTGACACGAATTCAGGAACTCGGGGGCAGGTCCGAAGCGATAGCATCAGCTGCTGTTAAATCGTCAACGTCCCTCGTTGTCCTGCCGCTGCTCGTTTCCACTATTGTTGTGGTCATCTTGAAACCTCTGGTCGACTAACTTATAGGGATAGTCGCGAGGGCCGTAACGCGCGTTATCCCTCGCTGGAACGTCGTCTCCCTTGATGTCAGCCAAATGCAAGAGAACGCCGCGTGGAGATTAAGCTCTAGAACATTGAAGACGGACCCGAAAATGGCGGGTAATCGGTGTCGGTAGCAGACGGGGGTTACATTCCCTGGAAGAGCTAAGAAAAAAAATTAATCTCCCCCTCCTCCTGCACGCGTCCCTCCACGATTCGGAACATTTCTCCCGTTTGTAGTCTCTCGCTTGGCTAAGAGCGTTGCTCGATCCCTCCTCCCCTCCGCCGCCACCCGTTTCCTCCCCCTCACCCCGACCTGAACAGCCAGTTGACGAACAGTTGCGTCGTTGTTTTCTTTTTGTTGTTTGTTGTTGTTGTTGTTGTTGTTGTTCGACTCAGACAACAGCTTTTGGGCACCTGGACCCATAGACAATAAATCTAGTAGCTGATAAGGGTTAGTGGTAACATGTAGCTTGTGACGACGAATCAAGGATCAATTTGAGGAAGTAGGAAGAGGGACAAGGAACGTCGAAAGGGAAAAGATCGCTGTCGCGATACCGCAAACAGTATATATATATATATCCTCGCTGAGTGATCTCTCTGACGCGAGACCACGAACAATTGTACCTAATTAACAAACAAACAAAAAAA